CAGGTAAGCTCGAACTCATTACTTATTTATAGTATTTTATCATATTTACACTTCAAGGCAGTTGTGTAAAAAAGTGCCCACTGTGCATAAAATGCTCCAAAGCAGCATCTCACTGGTCTCTGAGATGCTGTCGAAGCGGTGAGAATAAGGAAAAGAAAACCTGCCTTACATTGTTTTTGGCTGGCAGAAATAATAGAGATATTAACAACATTCATCATTGACTACAACTTGGGGATGCAACTTGATTGAAGTTAAGAAATTAGAAAACTTGTTTCGGTTTTACTGATTTAAAAACAGTTAAGGTGTTCTTAAATGTTTTTCATATTTTTAAAATCCCAGTGAATTAAAGAACACGTTTTGCCATGTTTTAATTAAATTTCAAGAAAACGGCGTTGTGAGAGATTAAGCTGCACTGACCAAAACCAGTTCTCAACAATGAAAACTTATTTACACACAAGATAGTCGCAGTGTCGGTACAACTACTGCTGCAGCTACCATTTTAAGAATCTCTTGCGAATTTTTGTTGGATATTATCTCAACTACCTTCAAAGACGCAACGATTGTAGAACGTCGTAAAGCACCGACTGCTCACTGATGAGTCTCAGTGTAAATTTGTGCCTTTTTTTTGTCTCCACATTTTAGGTGAGACCAAACTGTACAGTTCAGACGACGAGAAGCTGGACCTAAAGTCAGCAGACACCGTTTGCAGCGACCGAGAGGACAGCTCCGGGGACAGCGAGAACGAAAGTTTCTCGGACGGGAACAACTGTGGCTCCTTGCACCAGAAGAGCAAACTGAAAACCGGATCGCAGGAGGCGCTACCCACCGGCAGCTCAGCGGGAAAGAGCCGGAGGAGACGAACAGCTTTTACTAGCGAGCAGCTGCTCGAGCTTGAAAAGGAGTTTCACTGTAAAAAGTACCTTTCGCTGACCGAACGCTCCCAGATTGCGCATGCACTTAAACTGAGCGAGGTGCAGGTGAAGATTTGGTTTCAGAACCGCAGAGCCAAATGGAAACGGATCAAAGCCGGCAACGTCAACAACCGGTCAGGAGAACCGGTGAGAAATCCCAAAATCGTGGTCCCCATCCCTGTGCACGTCAACAGGTTTGCTGTGAGGAGTCAGCACCAACAAATAGAGCAAGGCACCAGGCCATGAACTCAGATGAAAATCCAAAATATTAACGATAAAAACTCTTAACAGTGACTCTATGTTCCAGTGATATGTTGAACGCATGAAGCACAAAAAGGAGGATTCTGTTACAGTATTTTGTCTGAGAGGTGAGACTGAGCAGAGAGGAGGAATAACTCCCAGACAGACGAATAATCTGGCAATATGCTGTGATTTTTATTTATTGTTCTGTGAATATGTAAATATAAATGGGTAAAATGGGTACAAATGGGCACTATGAGATGAGACTGTAAGATGTTTTTTAAAAAAATATTTATATGTTGGGCCAAAATGTTCTGTTGCTCATGTGCATGCCCTCATTTGGTGACGTTATTCTGGATTTTTGTTTAGTGTTTCGTATGATTTGTTGACCACATTTGCATGTATCTTAAGACGTTTTACATTTTGTTTGGCAACTCTAGGAACCACATTTGAAAACTATTTGTGAAAAAAAAAGAAAAGATGTGAAGGAAATAATGACCGAACAAGGGACAACTGTAAAGAATAATAATAAATCGCTTTATAAGAAATATGGTATCCACTTTGAATCTTTATTAATGAAAGGATGGAATAACAATGTTTTTATGAGACTTTTTGTGAAAAAAGGATTTTTTTTTTTTAATCCTGCAAAAATTAAAATTATGCCCTGCATTGTTTAAACATAGCGGTTCACTGATGATTTACTGAACAAACTAGTCAGATGGCTGTTTTAATATTTGACCTATTTAACACATTCCAAGTACAAGTGGTCACTTTTTTGATCCTGAAGGGATTATTATCAAGTTTTTAATGAGAACGTTTTTGATAAATCTCTTAGACTTTCACTGAAAAACTGTGATACTTTCATCTTTAATATTTAAAGAACTTAGCGTGGCAACCTCAAGGTTAAAAGTTCACTGTGAATGTTTTCATTGATGCAACATCTGTTAGCTTTCAATATCTCAGTGTTACAAACTTAAGGACCTGAATTTAAAAAAAAAAAACTGCAGCAGTGATTGATTTCAGGAGGCCATGTTGTCTCAAGCAAACTGATGGCTTTTCATTTGTCTGAGCACAGTGAACACAGTGTAATGAACTTCTCTATCAGTCACTACAGAGAGGCAAACTGACATCAGCTCTCCCTAATGTTAAAACTAAAATGCTATTTAGGTCAAACAAAAACGGGACTCTGCAGTAATGAAATAAGACGTGTATAAAGGATTAAAAGCCTATTTTAAAACCCACTAATGAAGATGCTGTTTTTTGTGGTTCATCACAGTATAAATACATCAAAATTTCATCAAAATAATGTGTCATTTTCTGTATAATTTCTAGAGGGGCGTGATTTGGCACGGAAATATTGACACCTGTAGAAAAGTCTCATAAAATTTTATTAACGTGAGGTTTGAATGTCTGATTTGGAGAATATTTTATCAATTTAAATAAAAGTAAGAGGCAATGCATGCTTCTAAAAATGTCAGTTTTCAGTAAGGTACATATGAAAACAACTAATAAATGCAGTTATTTCCAAAAACATTCATAATTACTTGCACTTGCAGGCCTATTCTGCAAGGGTAGTGACATAAGCAAATAAATATGACTTGCTTGCAAATATGGAAACATACATGGCACTGTAAAAGCAATAAAGCAGCAATATTTAAATAATGTCTGGCTGCATAGCTATCCAGTAACAGGAAAGGGAAATATCCCTTGGTGTTTTAAGCAAACCTGCGGGATCCTGGGTTTACACTGTTTCTCTGAACTGTTTCCAGAAAAGTCTCATATTGGAATAATTTCACTTCACCTCACATGGGAGGAAGTGATTTCCAAAATAGACTGAGGCCTCAAGCCATGTTTAACCTATTGCTGCAGCACCTGCTGAAGTGAAGTGATTCTTCAAATATTTTATTAGCATTAATAGTTTATTAAATTAACCTACTCTCTCCTGAGTCAGTATTTGCTTATATGGTTTGGATTAACAGCTTCATAAAAAAACAAGGATACACATCTTACTTTTCCATTCCTTTAAGCCTTTCATGGCTGCACATCCTGAAAATGATTTTATCTGTTTGACCCACAAGCATAAACGGACGTCTTTTGACCTGGACACCCATGAGTAGTAAAAGTTTATTTCACTGTTCACCTCATATATCAAGACTCTGACACATGGCTGGGGATTCAAGGAGTGATGATTGTGTGAACAAGCAGTGGAAGTTTTACCATGGCTCAAGAGCTGACTAATATACATGGTCAATTCCACAAGACTGTGACAAAGTGCAGTGGCTATTTCAGTCTTGATGAGCTGCATGGTGGAGGCATCAGCGAGGAGCTATGACACATCTCAGCCACTAACTTCATATTGGTTGTTATTATCAAGATCTTGTGACTACTTGAGACCTCATTTCAGTTTTATCACAAGGTGATTATCCCTAGATTTGTTACTATTCCTGAAATTATGAACTCAAACATATGACATTGTACAGAACTGGCCTATTCAAAACACTAAATTTGTGTTATTTAATTAAATAATAAAAGTTAATGTATATTTTTGAATGATTCATCTTGTGAATTCAATTCTTTGAGTTTTAATAATCCCTCTTCCATTAAAGCCACATCTTAAGTGCGCATCTCAGTCTCAAGACAATCTGAATCGTTGTGCCATTCTGCTACTTGAATCACAAAGCAAAGACATTAAACCATTTCCACATTCCCACCTGGACAGAGAGAGGAAAAGTGAGGGACCTCATTATTGGCTAGCTGTGAGCGTGCAGGCTGCTCAGCGCCGACTGGAGGCCTGACTTCTTGGGAGGGTCTGGATGGTCGTGGCTACAGTGATGGATGGGCAGATGCATCAAATCGCACAAGATAAACAAGCGATGAGTTTCATCAGGGCCATCATAGCTTTAATTTGGCTGCCTAATGAGTCAGATCTAGTGGCGGAGATAAGAGTTGTCAGAGGCCCGGCTCTAATGAATTTCTTGCCACTTGTAATCAAGGTTGCCTGTCTGAGGGGGGATGATTAATGGAACCCTGGAGGATTCCCTCGGCCCTCAGCCTTCATTACAGCTAATGCATTCTCAGGCAAATTAACAGAGAAATGCAGGCAAAAGCCAATGGGGAAGAGGAGAGAAAGAGAGAGGAAAGAGGAGAAAGGGAGAATGGAAGAGAATGACAGGAACAGAACGTTTATGTAAAACAAAGAGGAGAGAGGAGGATGAAGAGGAAGATAGCACGGTGGGTATAAAGCAGCCAGCTTGGTACCAGGAGACAGAGATGTATTGAAATCTGCTGATTAGTGAGAGGGTGACGGATATGAAAATTAGTATGGAAACATGAGGTCTGGGCCAGTCAGAAAGGGCAGGGTGCGACATGGATGTAATGGTTTGACATGATGGAGCTGAAATTGATAAATGGATGTTCAGGTGGGGAGGGATGGGGGTGGGGGGGTTCAGGAGAGGAGTGGTGATCAGATGGAAGTAGCACAGTGGACATAATTACTGGTTAAAGAGGTTTAAAGGGTGAAAAAAGGAGAAAAACAGGAAGCAACAGTAACCTATTGAAACAAAGGCTGGGAAAGATGTAAGACAAACCTCCACTCAACGCCACCTTAAAGCAACATTTATATTTCAACCAGGCACATCACTGACTGCTTGCTAAACAGGCTGTTTATGTGGCCTGTGGCCAAGAAGCTCCTACACGTTATGGAAATATGGATTTAATGTTTGCAAATATGGTCTTGTCAGGTCTTTGTGTAGCCATCCATCAGCCTCAGACCCACCTCTGCAATCTTAGAGGCAATTTGTCTGAGAAGAGGTGGGCGGCAGAGAGCCCTCCTCACTGTTTAGCAGGCCCTGATGAAATATCAAAACACACAGCAGTGCAAGCAAGTGCTCCAGTCTCACTACAGCAAGCATAAGTGGCCAAGGTCTGCCAAGGCATGTGGCATGGTAATAAATTACAGGACAGATTTTATTTATTTATTTTTAGAGGTATTTCTCAGGAAATGTGGAATAACTCTGCATCAGTTTAGGTTAATGTGAGTAAGGATTACATTATTGGTATTTAAAGCCCCAAATACTTGACTTGCTGTAATAAATATTGTTGTATTAATTATGAATCACATAAACTGGTTTATCACCTGACTCTGCTGCTCCCTTCCTGCAACTTTATTGTTTTTGTTCGCTCTTATCATCAGTCATTTTTCAACAGAAAAGAAAGCTCTCAAAACTCAGCCAGCCCAAAATGGCAAACAGACAAAGCTGGCAACTAGCAGATGAACATAACTGAGTAGCGGTTAAAAAGTCAGATATGTCTTTCAGTACCTGGTGTAGACCAAAAACAGAGCTACAAGAGTGTGAATATGTTGTTGCTCTGTATTGACAGGATGTGGAAATAGGCAACTATTTGCCAAGAAGGCCAAAAATCAGTTAATGGAGGTTTTAAAACCTGAAACTTCTTTCAAACTTTCAGTATTTCTTTATGGGTCTAAACAAGTTAAAAAAAAAAGAGCTAATCTGCTTCATTAGATTGTGGGAGTGTGGTTTGGTCAGATTTGACTGACAGCAACCAAACAGCCCACAGACTGTCATCAGACTTTGATTCAGTGTTGCTAAATCCAGATGTGTGACATTATAACAAGCCTCCTCACTTCAAGCACGAGAAGAGCACTGAGAAAAAAAAGAAAAATGCAGAAATCTCTTGTGCACAACAACCAAAAGTGCTCACATAGCACCCCATTGCTCAGAAGAAGCTGATTGAGAAAATACTTTTCCAGGGTTTTTAAGTGTGCAGAGAAAAAAACTAAAGGAAAACCAGGTGAAATAGTGGAAACAATGCCTGCCAATAGAAAGAGGAAGAGGAAGATATGCTGAGACGAGATTAACAGAAAATAAGAAGTGGATTAGTGAGGGCTTGACTTCTCTGGACACTGAGACCTTTCACTTTTCTCCACGGTGTGCTACCTGACACTAAGCCTGTCTCTCTATCTTAATCCTCTTTCAGCAACTGTTGGAGGTCTCACAAGCAGGAAGTGGAGAGGTTGATTTACTTACCTCAAGACGGGCCTGGTGGAGTTGTCTCAGGCACGTTTACAGGACTGAGTCCGTGCCATTGAGGACAGATGATGAAGGAACACGCAAAAGGGGAGAACATGAAATGGCAGAACTTGTTGAAATCATATTGAAAGTGTTAATTTATTATGAGCCTCACCTTGCAGAAGCAATAGGAGAATGACGGAAGACGGACAGACAACACATACACAAGACAAATGCGTTGATTTCCCTAAATCCAGGGAAAGCTACATCATTTTATTTGAGTGTTTATTAATAGGTCAACAGTCAGCCAAGCATCCAAACATACGGCAAGTTCTTTAGCTTTTGCTATGTTTCGTATTCTGAACGTAAAGGAATTACAATAGGAAAATTAACTTGAACAAATCCAAAAAAAAAAAAAAAAAATATTTACATACTGCATTATAAATATGTCAAATGTACATCATTATACACAAGTACCAAAGATGGTCAGTTAATGCAGAGACCAAACAGAAGTACCTTAAAAATATGCCTAAGGACAAACCAAAACAACATATCAAAATATGGTTCATGGGTCAAGAGGACCTAAAACCAGTTCAGTTTGTCTTCAGATAAAAGCATTAAGCTAATATGTACACTTCATGTTGTGTTTGGGGAAAACTGGCAGGTTTCTAGTGTCTTTCAGGATCTACAGTATGTAAATGAGGGTTCAGGTAATCACTGTACACATTAAACTCTTCTTAGTAATCCCCTTGGACACTAAAATGTACTTACAGAAATACATTGGTCAAGTAAAAATCAGAAATAAGGCCAGTACCATTGTACAGTACAAGTAAATTTGAAGATATCTAGTTGAAGCTGTGGTTGGTTGTGCAATGTCCTAAAAGAATAGTTTGACATTTTGGAGAATATGCTTTATTTTCTGGGAATTAAATGAGAAGACAGATAAAGTCTCCTGTTTATGCTTTAAGTATGAAGCCAAGGGGCAGGACACAGTTAGTTTAGCTTAGCATGAAGACTGAAAGCACGGGAAAGCAATTAGCTGGATACCCTCAAAAATTTAAAAATCTACTTACCAGTACCTCTAACCTGTAAAGCTAACAAGGAAACACAAGTGTGTAAAATTACTATTAGATTTTCATATGTGTGTTGCTAAGCTAGGCTGGACTGATTGCCTGCTGGCTCCGGCTCTGTACTCAAAGCACATGCAAGAGAATGGTACTAATAACTCTTGGCAAGATCCAGGAGGGAATAAACACATTTCCCAAAATGTCAAACTTTTCCTTTAACATTTATCTATCTCCCGCACCCACAAATATCAGTTTTGACCACACAGGCTACTCATTTTCCGTGGACTCTGAAAGCACATATATTGTAAAGCAACAACAACCAAACAGTATTTAAGGTACCAAGTTAATAACTTGCTTTGTAAACATACATCCTGCCTTTGTAAACCCAGAAAATCAAGATAGTTTAAAACCTTAAAATATCTGTTGAATAAAAGGGAAACTTCACTGCAGACATTTTGCAAACTCCACCTGAATTCATTCCTTGCCCAATTCCTATTTACTATAAATGAACTGGCTTATCATGTCTGTGGAATACTATACATGTGCATTAATATAAAGAGAATCAAACTAATTCTACTTGTCTCTATGAATCTCCTTGGCCTTTTTAATCCCACAGTGTCACTCTCATTACAGTTACTTGAATTTATTTTGCTAACGCCCTGCGTTTAGACTGACAAGTTCTCAGGATGGGGAAGGACACGTAGAAAGAGTTGTTTTTAATGACTCCAGAAAGTCAGGACTGTTGTTATAAGGAGTAAGGTGCAGGAACAGTAACTACTTTTTACATAGGTCTGTACATTAAAACACAGTTATGTTCCCAAATCTTCACTGTAGGCGTTCATCTTCTTTCCAGTGTCCCCTCTCCAATGTTTATGAACAGAAATGCCCAGTTGCCCTCTGCTGCACATGGTTACAGACAAAGACGGCAGCACAGTACCATATATGTATTTCACAGCAACAATAGAGGAAATGCACTCGAGAGTACAAATTTTACAGCCTTTGGCCTCAGGAGATTAATGGACACTCTGATACGCATATAGTTTGAAACTGTGCGAATCTATGCCAAATAATTACCAACACAATCTGGTCAATCAGAAAATTACTTCAGGAAAGACATCATAATGGCACAATTTTCAGCTTCAATCAAACCTTTGAGTTTGAATGAATTCTGATTGAGGAGGCACTCTTACAAAGCCACGTGGCTCGATGGTCATAAAACATTATGCTGAAACAGCTATTGATATCATGGAAGGTTTAGTTTCTTTCCTCCATCAGTGCTTTGTCACTTGTAAAACTATTTCTCACAGTTTTATGTTATTAAGCTTAGATTAGGAAATTTAAAGGAAGCTTCTCACTCACGCTCATTATAAAATCTGTTCATGTCGCAGAAGGGGAAGACATAAAAGGAAATGTTCACGCATTAAGGAAATGCTTTTTGTTGGGTAGGTATGAATGCCAAAGTAAGTCATTTGTTTGGTTGATGCTTAAAAAACAAAAAAGCTTAAAGCTGATCGTGATCATTTTAGACCAAGATTGAGAGAATTAAAAACAAACAAAACAAAAAAATAATAATATAAAACAAACAGTTTACAATGTCAGAAACACAAAGACTGACTTCTTTCAGTGTAGTGGAATATCAACAATATGTCCGTTGGTACTGATTCTGGGTTACACAGTGTGAAACAGAGGGAAGTATTGGGAAGAGACAGGGGTGGGTTCAGAGTTTTCTATGTTTGCCTGCAGCTCCTCTCTTGCTCTTACATGATACTAATACTGCGGTTGAGCTCACACTGGGCATTGTTGTTGTTGATGTTGGGGTTACGGCGGCTCATGTTGGGCGTGGCCACTGAGGTCAGGCTGCTTGCATCGTTTGGGCAACCATGCTGAAGTAAGATGTCAGCGCACTCCTGGCTCCCAGCTCGCCGAGCGCAGGACAGCGGCGTCTGGCCACGAGCATCCCGACAATTTACGTCCACGCCATACTGTGGGTGATAATGATGGATATTAAGAGGTATAAACTGGGGAATTCCAAAGAAATTTCTGCAAATTTATGAATATTTGTTCCAAATATTAAAAAATAAGCAAAAATTTGAATGAAAAACAATATGAAAATTTGTAATGCAGGCGCATTGTTGTAGTAGTTTATTTCTTATTTTCCTCAGTTCATTATCGGCAGCTCATTTGCGTTTTCTCCTTTACCTCTTTACACTCTACAAATAGAAGCATCATTGGCACAGTCTTTAATGAAAGAACCCCTTGTTTCCTTTGAATCGCAATGATCAGCGTCGTACAGGCAAGATGACAAACTTGAAGTGACTAACAACAAATTTTAAAACAATATGCTCCTTTAAAATAATGTGCTTTTCTGTGGAAATCTGTACATTGAAAACATTTAGTCTTATACATACTTTGACCATCTGGACCATCATTTTACACACATTTACCCACACTTCAGTTTTCTATATTTTTCAAATAATTTGTAGTTTTGACATGTTTTAGAGCAGTTCTATTATTTTCAACCTCGCTATATTCAAACCATACTTCTCTGTAAACAAAGAATTTAGTAGGTTTTCACTAAACATTTACTTCTGGCAGCACCCAGCCTATTAATTGCTATTAATTTGGAAGTATGTAATCTTTAGCTAGAGTTTAGTTGGTTATATCAAGTCCATAAGCAATATTTCTAAAATCATGGCTGCCAAACTGGCAAGGTTACAGAGGTTAACTTGTCCGATCACTAAATGCCAACACTAACAATGTTCATCCACCTGTGACCATTTCTTTCAGAATGAAAGAATCCACTCACCCAGATGAGCAACTGTGTGATGACCACATTGGTCATGGCGCAGGAGAGGTGCAGAGCAGTGCGTCCGTCTCCGTCCCCGTAGGTCTCGTTAACCTCCTCCTTGGTGCCGTGGGCCAACAGCAGCACCACCAACCTCAGGTCATCCTCTACCACTGCCCGAAGCAGCTGCTGCCCCAGGGGCACATCCGACTGGGGCAGTCCCAACAGGAACAGCTTCTGCTCATACTTGGCTCGGATCCAGCGCTCCTTCTCCTCCCTGGAGAGAAGGAAATGATGGGGACGCTACAGGTCAGGCACAGTGAAACATGATGAACATGCTTTAAGCAATTTAGTGCTTGAGTTAAAGAACTTTCAATGCATATCTTTTAATTTAGAAGCAGTGATTTAAAGGCAAAAAGAAAAAGAAGATTATATGCACCAAGGGAAATATTACAGTAATTGGCTCACCAGTGTGAAGTGACATTTCTCAATTATTGGAGCACAACAAAGTCACTAGCCCCTACTATCACAGTGGGACATAATACCATGAGATAGGCTGAGGAGATGAGAGAATGCCAAAGGGTGTGACGCTTTGGGCAATATTCCACTTTCTACTGATTACAGTTGAGAGCAAGACGGTTAGAGCCTGGCCAGCTTTCTAAAGGTTACACGTCTTGAACAGCACGTCTGCTGCGGACAATACAGGAAGGAGGGGGACATGTTTTTTATCAGCGCTGTCGGCTGTCAGTCTGAACTGGTGGATTCCCTCCACAAAAGAGGCAGCGTGTCTCAGAGCCCCGGTCTCCCTTGGGGTGGCAGGGCCCTGAGTCAGATCGATGGGGCTGAATGGCAGCCAGAGAGGGACGGTGGGACATGGGGCTTCTTCACTCCAGCCTGCAGCAGAGAATACTGAGGGGTAAGGCTCCTTCCTCTATCACCAGGCAGAATTCTATCTATTGCTCTCCATCTTGACCCCCCGTTTCATTCTCGGTTCACATACAAACTGTCCAAATAAGAAAGAAAGAAAAAAAAATCAATATCAATATGTGAGTGACTGAGCATGCCCAGTGTGGCAATAACCCTGTGACCCTGTCAGTCGGTGTGATAAGAGGAGCAAAAAGAGGCTGTTGTTTGGATTTGTGGGTGAGTGACAGAAAGGAGAAGGTTTGTACGGATAAGTTAAAGCAGCGACGCTGGCTGGAGTGACAAGGCTCTCATGGGACTCTCTATCAACAAGCCAAAGCTATACAGCCCGTACGAACTGACAATGTAATTCACGACAATTCTATTTTAACACAATCGCGATGAAAAACTCATAAAGTCCAAGTCAATTACCAAAAAGCAACTTTTTAGATAAACAGTGGAACATCACATCTAAATAAGTAAATAATATTTACAATTGCCTGCCTTATACTTTACATAATAACAGCTACATCTCTTCCCTGAAACAATGTTCTGGTTACTCTCTGCAGATCTAGCTTGAAATAGTTTTGAGTCTATACTTAAAAAGTTGCACTGGGGCAAGAGCGGTATCTCAAGGTGAGTAAGACCAGAACTATCTGCATGGTCTAAATGCAGGAGGTAAATATAAAGCTTTTCAAATTTTATTTTTTCATTTGGGTGAAACAACCCTTTGAGTATATCCCCACATAGCTCATTTTCAATTACAGCAGCCATTTTAACCAGCTCACCATTAGTCACTCGTCTTTATTACGACCTTAGCGGCTAAGTGTCAAGGCTGCCAGCTTACCACAGACAGCAACCATTTTCAGACTCATATGTCAGCTGCCAGGTCCACTTCACAGAGCACTTTGTCTGGGAAAGCATCCTGGCACCGGCCCTAACTACAGGAGATAAGGATGTGCTGGAACAGGGGCAAGCCTTTACCATCGCCTAGGCACAGACTGATTAACTGAACTGGAAGATCATAAACCAATGGAACTGTCATCTTTGAACAGTCTTAATGTGATTACTTCTATAAGCATATGAGTACAGTTTTGCTATGACCTGGAAAAAATCTGGAGGAAAAAGTCCTCTACACTGCTACACTGCAAGCAAATCTTTCTTAAGAATGAGAGTATTATGTCAACAACAATACAACCCTAATATCAGGCAATTGCAGTGACCTGGAGTTTAATGATGTAAGACCTCAATCAATCCCTGCTCAATCATTATATGTGGATAAGCCTGTTAGTAAAAAAATGGCCTTAGAACCAGGGGACTGCCCAGAAAAAGAAGGGGTTATCCTCCCCTGCCCTCTTATTTCCGGTGGACTCTTTGAAAACCAGTGTCTTTATTTTTTGTTCCTGCCGAAGAGGATAAACTATGTCTGAAAACTCTATAATCCATGAAATAATCCTTAAGGCAAAATCTACAACCTTTAACAAAAATCTAGGCATGGTTAAAAAACAATTGTTAAGAGCTCATGTCAAAAGTTTGTTTCAGAAAGCTAGACCATGAATGAGATGCTGAATCTGTAGACCTCGGTGAATTGATATGAGCTAAATGAGGCAGAAAGTTAGCACCAAGATGTGAAACAAAAAGGCTGAGGAGAGCCATTAAGAAGGCGTCAACATCTCAGAAAGGAGCCCTGAGGACACTTTGTTAGCCTCTGTTACAAAATCGGCCCTGAAGCCCCATAGGAAAAGGCCTCACTCGCTGCTGATTCTGAGCACTAAATTCAACCACAGTTCTTTTTAGATGGTCCACATAAAAAGGCCAAAGCAGCCAGGCAGTGGTTTTTAAAAATTCCCCAGCTGTTGCCACTTGAAAGGCAGAGTGTGAAAGGAAGTGAAATGGTAATCCCGCCTCTATCTTTTGTTTGAAATAGAAAAACAATCCAAACAGAGGTAGGGCTTAGACAGTCAGGGGGGAAACTGAGACCCTTGAAGAGGGCACTTCCTCACCACAGGAGGAAGAAAAATAAAATCAGATTTAGCATGTCAAAGTGCCAGGACAGAGGTGGAGAGGGAAGGGAGGATAAATTTTCACAGCATGAGGATGTTTAGAAAATTGACCTGATAGTTACTCTTACACACACACATAGAGGCATGGGCACCACCTTGGCTTGAGCGCATACTTGTTCTAAATTTCACTGTTGCTTAGGGGACAGAGGGGGGCTCAGAGTTCCCAATAAAAATGCCTGTGTCTATTTTAAAACAAGCAGCGTTTGCTTCACCACAAACGTCCTCCAGCATTCAGAGTTATCTCAGAGCTGATGCTCATTTAACATTCTTTCATTTAGTTTTATTTGAAAGGAATCTTGGGGGAAAAAATCAAGATGCTTACTAAGTCTAAAGTGGAAATGGGATTCCTGGTGTCCCCTTTCATTTGCCTATGCAGAGCCCACCTATTTAAGGCAGCCTTAACAACACAGAAAGCCCTCTTTTATAATTCTATTAGAGCTCTGTCCCTTCAGCTCTCTGTTGAGCAATGGATCCTGACTCTGACTTAATTAACTGGCAAATGGCGGAATGATTCTCCTAAACCCAGCCCACGGAGTCAAGAACACATGACTGAATTCAAATAAAGAGGGACAAACAAGGATAATTAGTCAAGCCTGAAAGACAAAAGCGAACGGGAATTTATAGGCATGAAAGGGAAACCGAGACGGAGGGGGTGGAGCTAGTGGTGGAGTAGCCACAAAATAACCACTCTGACCACCTACAATAAAGGTGCATTGGTCCATAGGAGGATGTCCGTCCCACCACCAGCCCATCTTTCAAACACATACTGAGTCCTCCTATACAATCAAACCTTCAAGGGCTCCTCCTACTCCTCCCTGGGCATCCAAATTCAGTGCAGACACATCAAATAGATGCACTGAACAGAAGAGATGGTGGTGTTGGAGGGTTGGAGGGGGTGGGTCTTGAGATCTGACCAGCCTGAACAGACCTCTCACCGTGGGGGTGGGCAACTTGTATGAGACTGATTCCCATGCAGCCAGCAGCTCCACTTCCACAAACCAAGGGGAGGGAAGAGACAGAGAGCGAGGAAGAGGGACAGCAGCAAAAAGATGAAAAGGGGGCAGAGAGGGAAACGAGAGAGATGAAAAAAAAAAGCGCGCACAACAGGGAAAGAAAGCTGGGCCCCAAAGCATCAAAGGTTGCTAAGGGCGAGAAATGAAGGAGCAACACAGTAAATGTTGCAGCAGAAAGTGCTATATAAGGACCCCTGTGGTCCACTGGGTACAGTGTAGACATGGTACACTCTGCTCTGAGAAGAACAGTTACAAAAAAACATTAAGACAAATATTTTCACAAGCGGAAGAGATGCCATGTTTCTTGTTTCCAGAGTGCCCTCCGAACAGATGACCAGAATTCAAAAGGTTGTTGTGTTGTGCTCTATAGAGAGGCCAATAAGAGAGCATCTGGGTGCCGCAGGCAGGCAGAGGGATGAGCTGAATATATTGTGACATTAATGAGGTTGTCAGACTCCTCATGATGGAGTGGCTATGTTTTTGTGCCAGC